CTGAGGTAGTGTAGCACCATGGTCATTTTAAACCCTTAACCTAAAACATCCAGAGTCCAGTGAAGGGCAGGGTGGGGTGTGTGTGTGTGTCAGATAGCACATGGATGCTCCAACAGCTACTTCTAACAGAATTACAGTTTTGGCTGCACCTTTCGGAGTATCCCACGAGTGGGAATATGCAGAAGACATGCAAAAGAAGAAAATTTTCCAGTCCTAAAAGAGGCTTTTCTAAGAAAATACCACCCCCAAACTAGTTATTGCATATTATTTATTTTACTGCCTTAGCCACTCTAACAAGTAGGTAAACATTATGAACACAGGTCATAATAGAAGGAGAGGAACAAAAAATCTCTGATTCAGGAAATACGCCATTTGAAAATTCGACTCAATATTCCCACTACACTTTCTCCAATTCCTCCTGGTTTTATTTTCTCTTCTAATTCTCTCTTGTGCATTTTGCACTCTGTAGCATTTTACTGATGACCATTCTAAGTGAATAATGTGAACATGACCCGCAGCATCGGTGCTGTAAAGGTCTGTAAGTGTAGCTGTAATAGCATTGTGCATATTTCAGGAATTAGATGGAGACTTCAATTTATGTAAATTAAATAAGTAACAGCCTGAGTCACACTCTGTCCATGTGCAAAACAAACCAACCCTTTCCAGGGTACAAAGTCCAAAATGTCCCCAATGTCTGCAGCCCTCCCTGGGCTCAGTCTTCTAAAACAGTCCAACAGGGCCCATCATGGTTCCGTTTGGCCTGGCTAGGTTGCAAAGTTCCTATTCTGGAATTGAGCAGCACCCCGATGGCTTTTTCCCTGGGGACTCCTTGCATCTACTTGAGTCCTCAGTGACCCCAACTCTCCTGCTAAGCCACCCCTCTTGGACTCAGTTCGCTGACCACAGCTCCCTTAGTCAGTCCCAGTGCAACACCCTTCCCTAGGGTGTCATAGTTCTAATTCCCTTCCTTAGGGCATAGTCAGTTCCACCAGTGGCTGGTGGAGGGAAACTGGTCCTGCCCACTGCTCCGGGTCCCAACCCAGAGACCCTACAAGTACAGCAGCCTCGTGCTGTTTCCCTTCCACTTCCCCCAAGCCCATCTTAATTGAGTCCCAGCAGGCAGCCAGAAACTCTACCGGGTTCCTCCGGTCCCTGCCAACAACTGATCTGTGCAGCCCTTTCAGCCCTTGCACATCTTGCTCCCCCGGTCCCTGCCAGCACACTGAACTCACTCTGGCCCTGCAGCTCCTTTTATACAAGCCTGCTGGGCTCTGATTAGCTGCTCCCTGCACCCTCTTTCCTGATTGGCTGTGTCCCACACCACCTCTCTAGGAAGCTTGGCGGACCTTCTCCACTGCCCTTTTCTGGGGCATTGTGTGGCGGGGCCACGAGGCCTCCAGCAGGGGGTCTCAGGGCCTAGTCCACCCTGTCACATTAAGGCAGACTAGAAATATGAATTAGTTTTAAAATATGTTCAGAGCACAGACATCATTAAAGAAATTCAAGCAGGGAGTCTGGTTTATTCATGTAGTTCGGGACACATAGCTCAACAGCTGAATGCACGAAAAGGCAGTCTTTTAAACTTGTCATAAAGCAAGCTTAGTAATTAAAATTATGTGTGGTTACTTTAACAATGGCATAAGCTTTAGATCAAGTTTAAATTGTCTTCAATTAAATATAGAATTTATCATTAAAAACTCTGCCTCTCATCTAAATACCAAACTCTATTATTGAGTCAGACTGTCACTATATGATGGCTTCCTGTTTAATTTTTTTAAAATGCAATACAAATATCAAATACTATCTTTTTCTCTGTCAGTAGTAGTGTTTAGAATATCTTTCCTATTTGTTTAACAGATGTTATCTTTCCACTAATTTAAGCTCATCTTCATTCTCCAGAGAATGAAAGCTTGAAATTGACAAATATTTGTCAGGATTAATAGTCATCCCTGCAAACTGTGTTTTTGTAGTGTCCCTGAGACTGTCAAAGAAGAGACAGAATAACTAATATTTCTGTCAATAGTTAATCCAGGCTGTATTCTCATTCTTTGCACGAACATCATTAGCATGATCTTTAAAGGAACAAGAAAATAATTTGAGATATATTTGGCAGGTATACTTTTCCATTCTATCCAGGGAAATAATAGATATATTAACAACTGAACTGAAGTAAAGGGAAAAATGATTTTTATTTGGATTAATATACAGTAAAAGCTGTGTTATCCAGCATGTTGGGGGAATGGGGGGGGGGGGGGGAAAGGGGTGCCAGTAAGTCAAAAATTCCAGTTAACTAAGAGGGAGGGAGTTTGGGTGCGGGAGGGGGCTCAGGGCTGGGGCATGGGAAGGAGTGCGGGCTCTGGGAGGGAGTTTGGGGCAGAGGGGTGGGGCATGGAAGGGTTTTCAGGGTGCAGGATCCAGGCGGTGCTCACCTCGTGCAGCTCCCCGCAAGCGGCGACATATCATCGCTGCTCCTAAGCAGAGGCGCAGCCAGGCGGCTGTGCGCGCTGCCTCTGCCCGCAAGCACTGCCCCTGCAACTCCCATTGACCGTGGTTCCCGGCCAATGGGAGCTGCGGAACCAGGGCTTGGGGTGGGGCAGGAGTAGAGCACGGAGCCCCTGTGGCCGTTCCTCCACCTAGAAGCAGCAGGGACAAGTCACTGCTTCCAGGGAGCCATGTGGAGCCACGTAAGGGAGGCTGCCAGCCCCGCACCAACCAGACTTTTAATGGCCGGGTCAGCAGTGCTGCCTGGTGACATCAGGGTCCCTTTTTGACCGGGCGTTCCAGTCAAAAACCGGACACCTGGCAACCCTATTGAAGATCAGAAATGCCAGTTTATAGAGCGTTCCGGTTGGTAAAGTGCCGGGTAACACAGCTTTTACTGTTCTTGGCATTAGCTAGGTTGAGATTTCAGATTCTAATAAATCAAGAAATTAGTGGTGGTACATGCTGTGAGGTTTGAATACTGTAATGAAGTGATGTAATTATAACACCTTTACATTTTCCTAGTGCCTTTCATGCAGACAGAGCCCAAAGCTCTTTACAGACTATAGTTTAGAATGGAATTTTAAACTCTATTAATTTCCTCCAGTAATGGTATTGCAGGCTTATAGGATAAAATCGACAAAGTGAATTGACTTGACACCAACATATGAAAGGTCACACTTCACAATGTATTAAATCCTTTGAAAGAACAGGTTCAGCTTGGGAGTTTCTTTCTCTGAAGATATGGATAGTATTAAATATTTCTATGGAGAGAAACCCAATGGAATTAGAGGAAAAGAATACAGCAAATATGAGACTCTTTGGTCCAAGTCAACTACTGTAGCACAAAGGGAATGGGAAAGACCCCACATGTCCTCAGATGAGCAGTGTCCAGGAGGTATAGAGCCAGCACAGCCAGGTCCTATGCCAGCCTCTCTGTACCCCTGGGAATATGGGGCAAGTCATGGTGGGAGGGGGGCAGAGAAGCCCTTAAACGTTGGAGCTGGGGCCAATGTAGATTGGTCCAAAAATGGAATCATAACCACGTCTCTGATGGCTATACCCCCTCATCCTCAGATTGAGAACAGCTCTTGATAAAGGAAAGAATCTGAACCCATCTATCCAGGCTGCACAATTTGGTATGTTACCTCAATGCATTCTCCAACACATGAGAAGTGATTTAATGTCTTTTGGAAGAAGGATAACACTTTTCTCAGGTGAAATGACTTTTTATCTTTATGGACAGATAAAGGTGTATACTACAAGAAGATCATTAACAGTTAAGTGAAAAAAACACCACTTTAATCCACAGAGAGGGACAGCTGCTAAAACACACTCCCATTCCTCTCCACATTCCACCTATTTCTCATGCAAAAATATTAATATTATATGTATATAATAATGATTTCTTATATGGCAAAGTGCTGGCACATCTGAAGATTTGGACCTAATCTGAGGTACTACAGTAATAGGTGTTTTAGAAATGCTTACAGATTTAGTTGTTTAGCAGTGTCCTCCACCCAGCTAGACTTACTATGTGTACATCAAATATACCTCCTTGTTCAACCGAACAGATTCCTTATGCTGGTCAGGCAGCAGCATTCTTGACAGAGTTAAAGGGAAGTTTTTCTTGTCTTAGCCACTACTCAGCTGGAAGTTTCTTTTAACATACACTGTAGCTAGCGTGCAGTAGCAATCTGAACTATCCCAATAGCTTGCAGTAGATAGGTTGTATGCAGACAGATTGACAATAGAGGTCCACAGACCTCTTTATATGGAGATACCATGGTGATGAGTACAACTTACATACTCAGACTTTCACAGACAGTTAGTACGTACTTGTCTTTTATATCCATTCAAAATCAAGAGAGAATCAAGAAGAATATAAACAGAGTAAAAGATGTACGAGGACAACAGGAGTACAAAATTACCATGCCACAAAACATGTAATGGGACATTAACAAGGGGATTCCCAATGTACAAATAGGAAAAAAACCAAACCGTGCAGCCCTCTTCCTGCAAAACAGTTTTAAGTGTACTCTTTTCTTTTCTGAAACTTCTAAAATTATTATTAAAATACCTACATGTTGCAAAGATTGCAGCTGCTGAAGAAGGAAGTGGAACAGTTTGTTTCGCTCAACTGCCTAATTTGTGGATAAATGGCAGACACTATAGGTGGGAAAATTCAAATAGAATTTTTTAACAGCAATGAAATAAAGATTTATTGTACCTGTTAACAGCTGGCTTCTTCCAAGTGCCCACTTGTGGTCTATGGACACGCTATAGGCAGCCTGCCTTAGTTTCCTCTCATGAACTGTTCAAATAAACTTCACTTCAGGCTTTTTCAGGGTAAAAAATACCTCTTCTTGGGGATTGGGTTTGTCAATATAAAATAAACTGAAATTAAACCTCAAAAAACCCCAAGGTCCATTCATAAGTCCACACAACCCAAGTTCTCTCTTCCTCCTTCCAGTCTTTCGCAACCTCCCTCCTGCTTGGTCAGGGCCTCTCTCGGGCCTCTCTCAGTCCTCTCTGCCTGGGACAACTCCCCTGGTCTCAGAGTCTTCCCTGCAGGAGCCTTTTCATATTCTCTGCAGACTCTGCCACAATTTTCTGAGCTTCCCCCTTCACTGGAGCGACCTGCTGCTTTTTATAGGGAATCACCTGATCCAATCCCGGTGTGCCTCATTCTGTAATCAGGGTTGGTTAGTCCCAGCCTCCAGGGGCAAACCACTCTGTTACAGTGCCTTATTAAACAAAATACTTTGTCTATTTAACAAAAGTAATGCATTACAAAACAGCAAATTTCCTGTGCAGAAAGACGTAAATTGCAGCCGTAATTATCTATTTTCACTGTATTAACAGACATTACTCATTAAAATGGAAATGTGATATTAATCACTTAAAAGCTGAATACATGTGTACAGAATAGAGAGGCATAACCTTAGATAGCGTCTATGTATTCTTTGAAGTCTATTTACTCTTACACTTTGCAACACAAAACACTAGAACAGAAATCCTGGCACCATTGAAGTCAACAACAAAGCTTGTATTGTCTTCAATGAGGCTAGGATTTTATCCTAGTTGTTTTCAGCAGTGGGTATTTGATTGCTTGTAAAATACTGTTTATGTTGGACAAAAGAGTGCAAAGCACTCTAGCAGATGTATTTTCTAGAGATAATTCAAACTGACAGTTGCAGTCTAAGTGTTATGTTATCAGAGTTGATATTTCGTTCTTGTCTCTGCTAAAGACAAACTCATGCTCTCAAGAATACATGAAGGGCCCAACTGGTAAAATAATTATTGTTGGAATTTTCAAGAGCGTGTAAATGGCTGATTGTGAGCTCTGTAAGGGCTACTTGTGGTGACTGTGGCACATGTCTACTGAGTGTCAAGTTGGGAGCCAGTTAACAGCAGACAATCAAAACAAATTGTATTTGGTAGCAATAGTGATTTATGGGAAATACTTATCACTCCTCCCACCCTTATAAACTCATTTGCTAAAGCACCAGAAACAATGGTTTTGCCTACATATATTCCTGACACCTGCTATTCCCTGAGCTAATGGGGACCTCAATTTTCATATAATTTGCATGATGTAGACAATGAGAGAACACTGTTGTACCCCAGTTCTTTCCCCCTCCCATAACCCATTGGTTGCATAAGCTCAAGAGGCAGGAAGTAGTGTGCAACACTGTACATCCCATTTATGGTTATCTAGCACAGACATACACAATTACTTTAATAAATCAATTTTACTGACTTACGAGAGCAGTTCCTTACTCTGTAAACATTACAATATGCTTTGCAGTATGCAGCCACATATCTGAATCTTCAGTCTGCTGGCAGCAGCTAGTAATTGTAGTTGTGGCCATGCTTGCCTGGGAGTCAGTATTCAGTTTCTCAAAGTTATTAATTCGCTGACTTTTTAACCAGTCCAGAGATAGGAAAATTCTTGGTATCCAGTTGATCAAGAGATCTCTCAGTACATCAGACAGAGCCCATCTTTCTGAACCTTGACTGAAGCTGCTATTTTATGGTCTGAAACTGGTCTCTATAAGTAGAGTGAGCATTCATTCCTCAAAATTGTTTACTGAGTCACAATAATTATAATGTCACTATACTTCAAAGGAATCTGACAGAAATCCACACTGATTAGGTCATTAGAACACCTTCGTCTGGTCTACACTACAGCTTCCACTGTTGCTATCTGCAATAGAACTACATTGGAGGTGGATTATGGCTTTGAAGTTTGCTACTTTAGATTTAACTTTTCAGTTTCATACATGGGCCAAATTGACACCTTTTCCATCTTTGCTACAAACACACAAACATATTTTGCTAAACAAACAATTTCAACAAACGATAGAACTTTCGACTGAAATGTCTGTCATGAGCTAACTGTGGTAGTTAAGTTTTTTTCTTGAAACTACAACTGTATGTAACACAATTAATGCGAAGTTTAAATACTCTGTTTACTTTCTTATCTCAAATTACTATATATTTAATTGCAGCTGTATTTAGTTTTTCTGATTCTGTTATTTTTCCAATCAAACAGAATACATCTTCAGTCACATTTTTATTTTTGCAAAGCATACAATATCTCAAAAATGAAATCATTCAGAAAGATACAGGTTGATAAATAATTGACGCTGTTTTACTACTACAAAATAGCCGAACTTGGACTTCCTTTCTAAACTGATTTGTACCATCGCTCCAGCAATGCTAAGCAGTTGAATCCAGTCTGTTTTCACATATATCGGTTTCTAATGTACTCTCTGTACATGAGGATGTCTTCTTTTACCAGTGGCTGCATGGTGCCTCTGCCAGCCTGAATGTGAGCATGGAAGATATCAATTGATTTCTTATCTACTTTAGGAGGCTGGACTTCATAAATGTTGTCTTGGGAAAAAGAGGAGATGTGTATTCTGTAAAAGTCAAAACCAAACAGTCCTTTAGCATTAGGTCTAAAATCAGCAACATTACACATCAATTGCAGTGTAGCACCTCAATTAATTTTGTTTACAATACATATTAAGTGAACAAACTCTGAAAGAGAATGCACTGTATATCATTTTCATATTGTATCTAAAACTCCAGTAGCATTAATAACCAACCTTAGTTATTATGAGAAGAACTATTACTCACAAATAATAAACTGTATGTTTATTTTCAGCAGCAATATTTAAATATTAAATACTCTAATATTAAAACAAAATACCACAGTTGCTCAATAAAGAGAAGCAAGTTAAACTGTATGCTGTCAAAAGGTGAGATTTTGGGTTTGGATTTAGTAACAGATTAATCAGTGGTTAACATGTTGTCATCAAAAGGTACAGTACAACCACAACCTATACATTAACTGTTTTGTGTGAATGCAACTTGATTTACTAGAAGCCACAATTTAAGATCAAGTTTAAGGAAAAACTGTCTGATGGAACTATAGGGCATGTCGACCCTTCAAGCTGAATTCATACCCAGGCTAGCTGTAATCAAGCTAGCAGGCGTGCTGAAAATAGAATGTAGCCACCGTGGCGCAAGTGGCAGGACAGGCTAGCCACCCTGAGTATGTGCCTGCAGTCTCTAATAGGCATGTACTCAGGACAGCTAGCCCCTCCTGCAGCTCTCGTTGCCATGGCTACACTCTATTTTTAGCTCGCTAGCTCGAGTAGCGCTAGTGCAAGTATGTCTCCTCAAGTTGGGAATCACACCCCGGAAGTGTATACAGACCTTATGAGTTGTCTAGAACATTTGAAAAAATCCTCCTGTAACTGCTAATCAGGAACAAGAAAATATTTCCCAGTAATCAGAAATCTGGCACATAAGTTTCAAGGGGATTGTGCCAATTCTCTAAATCATCAGCTTCATATGTTCTGGCTCACACCTTCTGGATGTCTGTTAAAAACTGGCTGCTGAAATATCTGCTTTATAAAGAACTTTAAAAATAAACTCAGGACCATTATTCACTGGAACACTGTGATTTTAAGTTTGGACAAGAACGTCTCCATCTCCACACGTACTAAATAGGCTTCTGTCAGTTTAGCAGCTGCAGATAAGTTTATATTATTATTAATATATTTATTGTTTATATTGTGGTAGCACCGAGAGGCTGAAAAATAGATCTCAGTGCCATTGTGCTACGTGTTGTACAAACATAGATAGATGTTATCCTTGTCCTGCATGGGCTTATAGTTTATGAAATCATAGCAACATCCTGCTGTCAAAGCTAATTGTTTAGTATACATTTTCTTTTATCAGGAAAGCAAATCTGGTACCACTCAGTTTAACATTGCAACAAAATTTCAATTTTATTTCTAGGTGAAAGCCTGTGCTGTCATATGGGTGTAAGTGTAAAAAAGCCCCAAATTCTGACAATTAAAAAACTGGACAGTAACAGATCACAGTGATTACTGAACATAGTGATATTCTAAACAAAGAGTTCTCAACCATGCTAGTACTGTTTTTCCATTGCTTCACACTGACTCAGCAGAAATTCTAGGTTTCAGACTGACATACAAAGAGTGTAACAATCCTGGAATCTTATTATATAGACTACCTGTATTGCAGTAGCACATAGGAGGCCCAGTCATCAATCAGGCTCCACTGTACTGGGTGCTGTACCACTGAACGAAAAGTAGTTAAACGTAGGGAATAATCTTTAAAAGGGACATGGAAGAAACTATGGCTTAGATTTTGTTGCATCCAGTTTCCACAGGACGTAGTAGTGAGGCACGAGCTTCAAAAGGATCAAGTTGTGGTTCCCTGATTCACAGATCAGCTCTATGCTTTCTCTACATTGTTTAGAGTAGCATATAAACTGCTTTAAATTATGGCAGTTGGCAATAGCCCCAAATGGATTGTGACATTGCTGTGCTTAGCAGTGCATGCTGGTCTCAATCTGTGAGCCAGTATAGGGTCAGACCCTTGGCCTTGCCCTCTCCTGCTGCCTCTGGGGTTGCCTGGGCCTCCATGAGTGCAGGGATCCAACCACTGTCTCTAGTTAGTGAATCAATACAATACATATGGCTCAAAAATGTATAATTCTACATTCGGCTGCTCATGAAAGAATACGTTGCATTAAAAATAATTCTATTCAGACTAGAGTTCTCAGACTTCTTAAATTAATCTGAAAACCCATTTTGTTCAGTCACCTTAGAACATTAAGGGAATTGTTAACCTTTTAAAAGTCCTTAAACAAAGACAGGTATTTTGGGGACCTGATTTTAGTTTCTTGAAAAAAAATCAGCTCTAATTTCAAACAGATTCACTTATTTCCAAAAGAATTTTTTCTGATTTATATTAAAGGTTTTGCAGAACTAGCTCATTTTCAAAAGCACTTATTTACTATTCAATTATATTATCTAATGCTATGATAGCTCTTAATAGTATTAAAAAATTCTGTTTTTTCAACCCTTGTTGCAGACATACAATGCAGAAGACAAAAAACACAACTGTTAAGAAATTCAGTGCAATTAATACTCTACATTGAATGTGCCAGTTATTTAAGCACAAAGCTTTTCTGTAACCTTCTATGTGTGATCTTAAGTGTAATCATAGTTCTATTGTCAGTATGAGCATGACCTAATTTTTGAGACAGTTCCCAAAACATGATCTCTATTAAAACTATCTGACACTTTCTCTCTTATTTTAGAAACTTTATTTTATTGTTGGAGGATGACAAATTCTGAATGCTCCATAGTGGTGCGAAATTTCTCAAGGGGGCTATGAAGATGGTGCAGTGTGTTTGCATAAACCAATTCAAATCCTTCAAATGCAACAAAAAATATATATGAAAATGTTTTAATTTTCAATATTAAAAATAACATTGTATTTTACCTTTGAATTTCTATATTTTCAAATTTTGAAATAGTGTTATTTTTACATAACTGAATCCAGTTAATTTAATATTTTGAATACTATAATAATACATGAGCAAAATACTGAACCACTTAATGTTCGCATGACAGTCAACATAAGGAGATTTAGATCAATCTATAGTTCAAAAGCCATCGAAACGTAAGGATCATTTTTTTTTTATTTATTATAGCTTGATTTCAAACGATTAGTGTGCAAAGAGTCATTTGATACCAGACTGGAAGAGGCATTTGGGGAACAAATCCCATGACAAAAGCCACCAAATATCAGAGACTTGTTCAAAACTACTTAGTCTCTCCTTTGTAATAATGATCATTTGTTTCTGAAAGGATGAAGAGCAGACAAAACTACCTGTCAGCTGATGTCCCTGCTGAAAGCACATTAAAATTCAAATTTCACTTTCTCTCTCAACTTCCATAAGGTTGGTCTTCAAGATTGTGTCAAAGAGATTAAAATTCATTTTTGGCAATGATTCAGCCAAAGTCAAAAGACATCACAATATTCTTCCCTGTTCTAACAGAATGCAACAAAACAGGTGTCGGAAATATGAAAAAGATTTCGCTTGTGGTATTTTGTGAGAGTATCAAAGTTCAGGAGTTATTACATTAAGGCCCTGATGCTACAAACATTTTTGCATGTGCACAAATTTAAGCACGACTACAAATATAATTCAGTGGGACTGTTAGGTAAAAATTAAGCCTTTGATTTAAAACAACAGACTTAGAGTTAAGGTAACAAAAGGTCTCATTCAAGCTAAAATTTCAAATAATGTATTAACAAGCTATTTAATGAAAAGGATGTAAAGAAGAAATCTTATGTTCCCTTCATATAAAATATACTATAGCACTTAAATAGCAATATAAAAATTAGCTACTACAACTGCACAGATTGAATAGAATAATGTAGGAGACTAAATTTAGAGCCAAATTCTGCCTTCACTTACATCCCTACATCCCTAGTGAAGTCAACAGGATTGAACTGGTAGACCACAGGGCAGAATTGGACCTAAATGTCTCATTCTAAATAACTGAGGCCACATATATGCATTTGACTTCAAAAAGATTTTGTGCACTGTCACAGGATGGCTGGTCCCCTGTGCCGGAACAGATGCTCCCAGTTGAGCCAATTAAGGGGGTGGGGCTGCACTTGGGCTATAAACAGGGAAAGGGAATTCAGTGAGAGCAGTGCTAAAAGGTAAATTGCAGAGTGAAAATGCAGGGAGACAGAATCATAGAAGATTATGGTTGGAAGAGATCTCAGGAGGTCATCTAGTCCAACCCCCTGCTCAAAGCAGGACCAACACCAACTAAATCATCCCAGCCAGAGCTTTGTCAAACCGGGCCTTAAAAACCTCTAAGGATGGAGATTCCACCACCTCCCTAGGTAACCCATTCCAGTGCTTCACCACCCTCCTAGTGAAATAGTTTTTCCTAATATCCAACCTAGACCTCCCCCACTGCAACTTGAGACCATTGCTCCTTCTTCTGTCATCTGCCACCACTGAGAACAGCCCAGCTCCATCCTCTTTGGAACCCCCCTTCAGGTAGTTGAAGGTTGCTATCAAATCCCCCCTCACTCTTCCCTTCTGTAGACTAAATAAACCCTGTTCTCTCATCCTCTCCTCATAAGGCATGTGCCCCAGCCCCCTAATAATTTTTGTTGCCCTCCGCTGGACTCTCTCCAACTTGTCCACATACTTTCTGTAGTGGGCCCCCCCAAAACCAAATGCAGTACTCCAGATGTGGCCTCTCGAGTGCAAAATAGAGGGGAATAATCACTTCCCTCGATCTGATGGCAATGCTCCTACTAATGCAGCCCAATACGCCATTAGCCTTGTTGGCAACAAGAACACACTGTTGACTCATATCTAGCTTCTCATACACTGTAATCCCCAGGTCCTTTTCTGCAGAACTGCCTCTTAGCCAGTCGGTCCTCAGCCTGTAGCAGTGCATGGGATTCTTCCATCCCAAGTGCAGGACTCTGCACTTATTCTTGTTGAACTTCATCAGATTTCTTTTGGCCCAATCCTTCAATTTGTCTAGGGCACTCTGGA